TTTAAAAAAATGGGTAAAACAATAAAACTTCACTCAGATGGCCATGACTTCAAATCTAGATGTATTTTTCAATGCTGAACAACTTTTCTCAATACCATTTCCCGAAATTTCTAGTACTTTACTCTTTTCTCAAAATCAAAAATTTGAAGGCTCCTCGTATATTACGTGTGTTGTACTGTATTTTGTTGATGCATGTTTAGTTTTAGAGAACGCACAAACTTTTATCAGTAATAACTTTTTGTCGAAAAACCCTTAATAAATAAGTTTCCCATATGGTGCATACTTTGGGGATGGCAATGTATATCTTCGAATAAATAAGATTATTTTCATTTGAGTAATGGATATTCCCAAACACAATGAGATTGAAAAATGAATGTAGAGATTAATAAATATATAAGGCATTTCATTTAAATTGAACTCTTTCTATTTCTGGTGAAATTTATGTAAACAAATGAGGAAGCGCAAACAGTTACCTCGTGACATTGGTGACACCATGTGCAATATAACGCTCCAACCCCCTGCACTATAGCCCATGATAGTTACAGAATCAGGATCACCACCGAATGATAGAATATTTTTTTGAATCCATCTCAAAGCTTCCACTTGATCTTTGAAACCGTTGTTGCCAGGAGCTTCTTCAGTACCGGTGCTTAAAAATCCTGAAAAATTGTTTCCGTTTTCAACAATTTCACAATACAACAAAAAAATATTTTTTGAATGTTTCCTACACTAAATTAGTCAATTTCCTCTAATTTTGGGCTGATAAAAACGAAAATAACAATGAAAAATTTTTATTAGCTCTGGTTTTTGAGATACACAGTACTTAATCTTAAAGAGTAGTTATACTATACGTGAAAAGTGAAAGTACATGAAACAATATTGTTATGTTTCTCTTAGAATATTTTAAGTACAAAATTAATAAAAAAAAACATTATTCTTAGAGTTTTGACAAATAAAAGAAGTTTGTACCACCAAATTTCAATTAAGTCCATCCGATTCATTGTAAGATCGCTGTCGTTTAGCTTGTCTTTTATAAAACACTTCTGGAGCATCCCTACACACAGACCAGCAGTAGTCTGCAAGCATTGCTTCATTCCAACGGCCCTGATATCT